CGAGATGTCCTATGACTTATATAGAATTATCTACTGTTATACATTCATATTTGTATCGGTTAATTCACTCCATTTCAAACTTTATATGGCTAACACAATGAACTTAATGGCTAAAATACCAATCATTTACTAATTCTCTCAATTGTGCCAGTTGATGTGTGGGTTGCATGGCCTGAGCAGGTTTGGCGAAGGCTGGATGGCCTAGATGGTTTCAATTACATGTCCACGCCTCAACTGAAATGGATGGGACCGTTATTCACATGGCCTATCACCGCCCAAAAGGCTAACCTAGGCTTCATTACTTACAACAGCATGTATACATGTATTTGTATCTTCATCTCCTCATTCCTTTCACTCTTAGAATGCAACCACTCCCACCCATATCAGTCTTATCCATTCTGCCCCATCCCTAAACCTGACCAGACCAGGACTCGAAACCTTTTGTCTTTGTCTGCATTGTGACCGTGGCCCTCACCATTAACATGCTGACTTCCACAAACCCCATCCAGATAGAAGTTCTCCGCGGGTATCTTCTCAGACACCAGACTTCCTACAAGATGGCGGTTCCCAGGGCGCTCCTGTCTAACGGCTCTAGGGCGCAGCCATCTTTCCGTCTTGTACCCGAGATAGGCTCCGGCTTCTGAAAACCTACGCAGTTCGCACAACATTGATGACAATCTCTTGGGGAAGGCACCGAAGTGCCCCCACGGCATTTCCGTTTCTAACGATGTAGCTGAGTTACAGCGGCCGTTAGGCCACGCCCACCGCGAGCGCCATAGCACGCTCTGTGACGTAACGCGTCTCCGTCACCTCCTGGAGCCCTAGGAGCCTCTTGGCGTCCTTAGCGACGGGGGAGGATAAGTTGTGGCGCCAGAGTCCCGGCGTCGGAAGTGGACTCCGACCCGGGTTCAGGCGTTGGTAGCTGCTAGTGGAGCCTTGAGAGCCCGAATCTGCGTCTGGATCGGGATGAGGAACTTGCGGGGTCCGTGGAGCGAAACATACATGTGAATGTCCGTGTTTGGGGATTTTATTTGGGCTCGTCACTAAGGAATCTGGACGTTGGTAATGGGGCCTTTGGCTGTCACTGGTTAAGGCTTAATTTGAACAGATTTGCGACTGAGGGTCTGACGGTCAGAGCCTGGGGTCGATATGTTCACTCAGAATGTAAATCAGTGATTGAAAACTGGGTGGAAGGTTTGTAGCAAAGATCGCTGTTTCTCGCTCACGTTTGCGATTTAATATGGGGGCTCAGATGTCCAGGGCTAGAGGGAGGCGTGTCAAAGGAGTGTTTCTGATGAGCTTCAGATTCAGTTTGAAGGCAGCGTTTTGTGGGGTAGGCAGGGCTTGCTAGTGTTTTAGACTGTCAGGAGGGGCTGAGGGCTTTTTTTTTTTTTTTTTTTTTTTTTTTGTTTTGCCTCTTGTTCTGTCCCCTCTCTGGGAGCGAGGCGGCGGCCCCTGGCCCCTATGTTTTTCTTTTTTTTTTTTTTTTTTTAGGTGTGTTCTCTTTCTCTGGATTTTAACACAAAAGACATGCATTCTATAAATAAAAGGAAATAAGGTTTTCTGGGAAACAAATTGGGAATTGCCACCTAGTCATAGCTCTGTGGTCAAGTCAAGAGGCTGGTCTTCAGCTTCCATCTGGCTGTGATCTCAGATGAAGTCTAGAAGACTAGGCTCTGTGTGTGTCCAAGAAGGTGAAACATTCAAGGACAGTGAACATCATCGTCCTCTGCTCAGAGCTGGGCTAGCCCCCAAGGCCCAGTGAGCACAATGTCTGTCCTATCTCCTTGTTACAACTTGTTCACACTATCTTTGGGTGATGCTCCTGCTCTGGGCTATTAGATGCACAGCCTTAGGTTAGTGGGTATTTTTATTTATTTATTTATTTATTTTTTTGCCAATCTGTTGCCCAGGCTAGATTCCTGTGGCGTCAGCCTAGCTCACAGCAACCTCAAACTCCTGGGCTCAAGCGATCCTTCTGCCTCAGCCTCCCAAGTAGCTGGGACTACAGGCATGCACCACAATGCCCGGCTAATTTTTTCTATATATTTTTAGTTGGCCAATTAATTTCTTTCTATTTTTAGTAGAGACAGGGTCTCACTCTTGTTCAGGCTGGTTTTGAACTCCTGACCTTGAACGATCCACCTGCCTCGGCCTCCCAGAGTGCTAGGATTACAGGCTTAAGCCACTGTGCCCGGGCCGGTTATTGTGTATTTTGAAGCTCAAACTTTGGATGCTGCAAGTATTTCTTTTTAGTCTTTTAAGTGCAAATTCATCCTCAAGTTTCCTACTAAAAACTTTGTCTTCCTACTTTTCTCATTGTCCCCATAAAAATTACACTAGTTCAGGATGTTTTTACTATTGAGGATGGGATTTTTGTTCCTCCTACTGCAAAGTTTACTCTTGGATATTTCCTTTAAATATCCATAGTGAAAACCATTTTCGTAAATTCTACTCCTCAATGGGAACCATTTTATTTTAAAAAATGTTTTTAAGCCTACCGTTCTAAAGATTGGGATCATCTGCATAAACCTACATTTAAGAATCTGCCTGTCTTCTAATGTGGCTATACTACTTTTTTTTTCCTTTGGATTAATAAGTCTTCCTCTTCACATGTCCCGAAAGTTGTTGTAAAGAAAAATAAAAAAAAAAAGAAATAGAAAATTAAAATATATATATATAAAAAGTCTTCCTCTTAACACTGCATTTCATATTGTCAGTTATTGTCAGTGTTTTTTTTTATTTCATCAATTCTAATAGCTGGGAACTTCAATTGCATCAGTTTTTTTTGTTTTTGTTTTGTTTTTTTTTTCAAGATAGGCTCCCACTCTGTCCCCCCTGGCTAGATTGCAGTGGTGCCATCATAGCTCACTGCAACCTCAAACTCCTGGGCTCAAGCAATCCTCCTGCCTCAGTTTCTTTTGTAGAGATGTGGTATTATTCTTGGTCAGGCTGGTCTGAAACTCCTGACCTCAAGCTATCCTCTTACCTTGGCCTCCAGCACTAGGATTACAGGCATGAGCTACCAGGTCACTACAGCCCCTTGGTAGTTTTAATTTGCAATTCTCTTAAAACAAATGATGTTGGCTATCTTTTTGTATGCTCGTTTGCCATCTGTTTATCTTCTCTGAATTAGAGTGTATGTTTATGTTCTTTGCCCATTAGAAAAATTGGGTTTTCTTATTGAGTTTTAAGAATTCTTGGTATGTTCTAGATACCAGTCCTTCATCAGATATTTGTCTTGCACATACCTGTTTTTATTCCAAATCTGTGGATTATCTTTTCGTTCTCTCAATGTATTTTGCCTGGCACAATTTTTACAGTTTTTGATAATGTTCAATTTGTCAATTATTTCTTTTATAGATCTTCCTTTAGAGAGTATATCTAAAATTTTATTGTCAAACCCAAAGTCACCCAGATTATCTCCTATGTTTTCTTCTAGATGTTTTATTGTTTCACATTGTACATTTATGTCCAGGATTTATTATGAGCTATTTTTTGTATTTTTTTTGCATAAATTGTGAAAATAGTATCCTTTTTCTATACATTTGTCAAAGAGTTGACTATACTTTTGTGGGTCTTTTTCTTGAGGCTCTATTTTGTTCCACAGATGTATGTGTTTATCTTTTCACCAATACTATCAATACCAATACCAATACCAATACCAATACCAATACCAATACAGCTTTATAAGTCTTGAAATTGGGTAATATGAGTCCTCTGAGTTGGTTCTTTGTCGACATTGTTTCTGCTATCCTTATTCCCTTGCCTTTCCATATACATTATATTTAAGTTTTTAATTTTTATTTCATTTTATTTTTTTGTAGAAGCAGGGTCTTGCTATATTATCTAGGCTGGTCTTGAACTCCTGGCCTCAAGCAGTCCTCCTCCGTTGGCTTCCCAAAATGCTGAGACTACAGGTGTGAGCCACCTCTCCATAAACATTTAAAATCAGATGTCAATACCTACAGAAAGATTACTGGGATTTGTATTAAGTTTACATCGAATCTATAGATCAAACTGGGGAAGACTACCATCTTAACCATCTTGGATGGTTCCAACTCTCAAACACTGTATATCTCTCCATTTATTTGGCTAGTCATTAATTTGTTTCATCAGTGTATTGCATTTTTTCAGCATAAAGTTTCTGCCAGTATTTTGTTAGATTTCTATCTAAGTACTTCATTATCTTTTGATGGTATTGTAAATGATATTAGTGGTTTTAAACTTTCAAGTTCCAATTGTTTATTGCTGGTATATAGGAATATAATTGAATTTTGTCTATTGACTTTCTATACTAGGACATTGTTAAAGTAACTTATTAGTTTTAGAAGCTTTTTTGTAGGTTATATGGGATTTTATAGATGGATAATCATGTTATATTAAAAGGTTAAACATACTATAAAGATAAAAATTAGATCAGTGGTTGCTAAGAGCAGGGGGAAATAGGGATTGTTTGACTACAAAGGGATCTCTCCAGGGACTTTTTAGTGTGATGGAACTGTTTTATATGATATTGGAGGTATAGATATATGACTCTATGTACTTATCAAAACCCACAAACTGTACAACACAAGTGTAAACTTTATGCAAATAAAGAAAAAATCAGACCAATATGTTAGGGGAACCCAGGACAGATGAAGACTGTGACAACTGAATACAACTTTGTTAGAAATGTATGACATAACTTGACCAAAGGAGATAAGAAAGAAAAGAGCTGTCTTATGTTACTTTGGAAAATGTTATTTTGACTAGCTACTATGAGGCTAAAGACAAAAAAGAACTGTACAGTTGGCCCTCCATATTCTTGGGTTCTGCATCTGTGGATCCAACTAACCGTGGATTGTAGATCAAAAATTTTAACATGGCATTTATATAAATTGGCACAGTACATATAACTACACACATCCTCCTGTAAATTTTAAATAATCTCTAGATTACTTATGATACCTAATACAGTATAAATGCTATGGAAATAGTTGTTATACTGTACTGTTTAGGGAATGACAAGGAAAAAAAATGTCTGTACATGTTCACTACAGATTTTTTTTTTTAATTTTTGCCGATTCCAAAATATCTGGATGCTTAAGTCCTAGAACCAATCCCCCAGATACCAAGGGACAAGGGTACTGTATTGGAAGTATTAGGAAATTTTCTATAATGGGCCAGATAGTAAATATTTGAGGTTTTGAAGGCCTAAAATTCAACATGGTCTGTGTTGAATGATTTTGTTTTTAAACACTTTGAAAATATAAAAAATATTATTATTTCATAGGCCATAGAAAAGCAAGTTGGCTCCCTGGCAATGATTTGCTGACCCCTGCTGTAATAGATAAACTTGTTTCTTACAGGGGCTTGGAATAGCAATTCTGAAACTACAGTACAAACTCAGACAAACCCAAATTGAGAAACAGCCTATAAAATACTTGATCAGTATTCCTGAAAATAATAGAGGTCGTGAAAAAAAGATAAGACTGTAACAGTTCTGGACCAGAGGGAGCCAAAATTATATGATGTCTAAATGCAATATGATATCCTGGGTGAATCATGGGACGTAAAATGGAACATTAGGGGAAAACTGTGAAATCCAAATAGGATCTGAAATTCAGTTATAGTATTATACTAATGTTAATTTCTTCATTTTGACCAATGTACCATGGTTACATAAAATGTTCATGAGGGGAAGCTGAATGGAGGGTATAATGAAAACTCTTTGTAGCACTTCTGCACCTTTTGTATAAATCTAAAATTTTCCCAAAATAAAAAGTATATTAGAAATAGGTATCATTTAATTTCTCATTATAAATATTCCCATATTATAGAATGTTTATGTATGTATATATTTATTCACTTAGTGGCTATAGCAATGTATCAGGTAGGTGAACTAGTGGCATGGTAACCAGAGTCAGATAAAATGTATGTATTACATTGGGGTATAATTGACAAACCAAAAATATTTTAATTACTTTCAGTTCATATTATGATCTCATTATGCATGGTCTTATACTCTCATCCCAAGATTTGTTGTACTTTTTTTATTGTATGGTCCAGATGTGTCCATTTACTTTTAATCCCAGGTAGTTTATAATTTTGCAATTACATTTGGTGTCTTAAAAAAACTCCCTATACATTTTGTACTGTAGAACAGCAATTACGTTTTTATAGCGTTATAGTCATAATTTACATATTAATATTTACAGGTAGTAAGTGTATAGATCAATGGTGTTTAATAAGTTTATAGGGTTGTGCCACTATCATTACAATCCAATTGTAGAACATCTTCATGACTCCAAAGAGTAATGGATGATTGTTTTGTTATTGTTGAGTTATGAGAGTTATTTATTCAGCATACAAATCCTTTGTAAGATGTCTAATGTGGAAATATTTTCTCCCAACACGTGGCTTCCTTTTTCACTTTCTTAAATGGTGTGCTTAGAAGCACAAAAGCTTTTTTTAAAATTTTAATTAATTCCACTTTATTAATTTTAGTTCCTTTTGTGGCTCATCCTTTACTGTCTCGTCTCAGAACTAAGCCATGTTCATGAAGATTATCTCTTGTTTTTTTCTCTTTTAAGTTTTATACTTTTACCTCTTAAATTTAGGTCTATAATCCATTTTGAGTTAATTTTTGTGCATGGTTTAAAGGTCTTAACTCATTTTTCTGCGTATGGATATCCAATTAACCCAGTGTCATTTGTTGAAAAGACTATCCCTATTGAATTGTCTTGCCACTTTGGCAAAAAAGCTCTTGACGTTAGTATTTTCTTACTCTCGATTCTGGCTCCGCTCTTCCCATTGGCTCCACGCCTTTATAAGTCTTACTTTTAGTGGTCTTTCTGGAGGCCCCAACCCTGATCCTAACTCAGGCTCCTCCAAGCCGCTTTTTCTCGCTAGCCTGTCGCGGCCCGCCGTGGACTGTACCACTTTCTCCAAACTGTTTTTAAAAACCGCTTTCTGCAAGTCGTTTCGTGCCAGACGCTTTCCGTGACTGTCCGCCTACCTGATGTGTTACCTTTCCCCTTTCCACGACTCCATTTTCTGCTATACCGACACCTGACTGAACTTACTAAACCTTTAAAAAAATTTTTTTAAACAAAGCGAATAAAAGCTGTGGCAATATTACTTCTCCGCCCAGCCCGCTAAACGCAATTTATCCCGCCCCATATTTGCCTTCTAAAGCTTGAGTCTCTGAAAATCTGCCCATTTTCCGTAAGAGTCGAAGTGCCAGGAAACGAGGCAATTTCAGTGGCTTATCACCTTCCCCGACTGCTGCCCCCAAACCTGCCACTTTACCGTCTGTACGTCAGCTCGCCAAACATGGCTGCACCCGTGGGGCCACGACCTTTGGGCTCGGCCATGTTACGTCATCAGACCTAGCCGGAAAGGCTGTTGTCCGCGCTCCTCCAAATAGTTGGGACCCTCCTCGGTCGCCGTAGGCGGACCGGGACCCGGTGCGAGAGGTTCTGGAGGAGAAGCGGTTTACGGAAGTGTAACGTTTAGGCCCTCCTTGCGGGTCTGGAGAAAATCAGCTCAGTGTGTGGTTTTGTCTCTTACAGCGTGAGGGAGGTCTGTGGACGTGGTGTAGCATGGATCATGTAGTTCTCGGCGGGGGGCCGAGAGGGAGCACCGGGCAGAGGTGTTTGGGCAGTACCTGGTGGGAGTCTGTGATGCTCCTGTCTGTGGTCTGCGTGGCTTTGGTGTCAGTACAACGAGTAAGGGTCTGTAGACTGTGTCCGGATTGTTAGAGTATGGGGTCTTTGCGGATCACTCTGCTCTTGAGGGATGGAGGTTATACTTACTATGCATGCGGTGTCTGGTTCGGGTTCAGGATTTAATTTGGGACTCGATGATGTTGGAGTCGGGGACGATGTTCATCACTTGAGAGTGTCTGGTGCAGGTTTCGGATTAATAAGGGGCGTGTGGTCAGTGTCTGGTACAAAGGCTTGTGAGCGCTGAACCCAGGCCTTGAACCCTTGGTGGTTGCTCTGAGGTTCGAACCTGGCAACTGGGACAGAGGGCAATACAAGCACTCCCCGCCTCCCCCAGCCTTAGTTCGAAACCTTGTACCTACGCTTCTCATCCACGGAGAGGCTAACTACAGACCGGGAAACTACTTCAGCCACGCCCATCAGGTTATGTATTGTTAGCTGCAAAGGGCAGAGTTGAGCAGTTGTGATGGAGACCTTATGGCAGGCAAAGTCGCTTTGCTGAAAATGTTCACCAACCTCTGCACTCACCTTTTAATATATAGTAGCAGGGGTGCTTGCCCGTCTGACATACATTCACACTTTCTATTTTGCTAACAATATCTCCGTTTCATTAAAGTATCCATTCCTCTGGCAAGGTGACCCAAATCTTATCTTATTAGTAAGTCCTGGTTGGTCTTAGCCGATCATGGTGGTTGCAATTCCTAGTTCGTTTGGTTTTTTTGAAACAGGGTCTCCCTGTGTTGCCCCGGCTAGAGTGAGTGCTGTGGCATCAGCCTAGCTCACAGCAACCTCAAACTCCTGGGCTCAAGTGATTCTTCTACCTCAGCCTCCCGAGTAGCTGGGACTACAGGTGTGTGCCACTATGCACGGCTAATTTTTTCTATATGTAATTTTAGTTGTCCAGCTAATTTCTTTCTACTTTATTAGTAGAGATGACTGGTCTCGAACTCCTGAACTCAAAGGATCCACCCACCTCAGGCTCCCAGAGTGCTAGGATTACAAGCGTGACCCACTGTGCCTGGCCTAGTCCCCATTTGACACATGATTAGCTAGTGTTAGTTCTGACTTGAAAATAAGCTTAGGTGTATGGTGCAATTCTAGCCAACTATGTATATGAAAATCTGCCTGGAATTTCTGAGGGAGCATTTTCTTTTTACAAATATATCATTCTTTGAATTTCTTTTGGCATGTCAATGATGATAATTGTCTGAAAATATCCTTAATTTTGTCTTACTTTGTAACGTTTATAATTTATTCTTAGTGCAATACAAAATAGGAAAATAGGGTGGTAGCAGACATTCTTATGTTTTGTTCCCTACCTGAAAATTTACCTGCTGTATGGTTTGGAGTTACCATCTTTCCTGGAGGTAGGATCATAAAATTATGAATTCATTTAGGATTTCAAATTTAATGACAAAATGTTCATAGCATTCTTTCAAGACCTGGAAAAAAATCTGTTTTATCTGAGTCATATCTCCCATTAATTCCTTGTATTCTTTGTGTGACTTCTTTTTCTGTCTTGATTCATGTCACTACAAATTTGTGTATTTTATGGGTTTTTTTTTAAGGACAAATTTTTGGTATTTTTGAACTCTTTGTTACTTTTTCTAAATTTATATTTTTAAAAACACACAATTTAATTATAAAAGCAATATATGTATAAACTATCATTGCCCAGGTCAAGAAATTGAATATTTCAGCATCCTATCTCCTCCTAAAAAGAAAAATAAAAAACAAAAATCAACAACAACAAAAAGAAATTGAATATTTCCAGCACCACAGTGGTATTCTGTGATCCTTTTTCCATCCTCATATCTAAAGGTAATTGCTGTCCTGTACTTTTAGACTTCCTTATTATTATAGTTAATTTAGTTTTGTCTATTTTGAATTGTGTATCAGTGGAATTATACATCATTCATTTTTTGGTGTCAGTCTTCTTTTGCTCATACACACACACACACACACACACACACACACACACACACACATATATATATATATATTCATGTTTTAAAGCGTTTACTTGAGCCAAATTAGTACAGCTGCCCAGGAAAACACTTCCAAATTGCCTTGAGAAGTGCTTTGTCTGGCTTTTGTTACAAGCAGGTTTTTGAATAAGGAGTGGGCTGATACAAAGTTGTTTGACAGGAATTCTCACTGGTTTACAGAAATAACATTAGTGATTGGCTATACACTGTTGAACTATAGTTTATTAGTAAAGGTGTCCAGGTTATGACATTTTATGGCTACTTGGCTTCAGCCTAGAGCCCACATAGCAAGTGACTTCAAGAGGTGATTATTTAGCTCAAGGGGAGAGAGAGACATGACTGCTATCACATTTAATGCCTTCCTGGGCCTGATAGTTTATTATTTTATTATATTTATTTTATTTTATTTATTTTTTTTTTTTTGAGACAGAGTCTCACTCTGTTGCCCAGCTTAGAGTGCAGTGGCGTCAGCCTAGCTCACAGTAACCTCAAACTCCTGGGCTCAAGCGATCCTTCTGCCTCAGCCTCCCGAGTAGCTGGGACTACAGGCATGCACCACTATGCCCAACTAGTTTTTTCTACATATTTTTAGTTGGCCAATTAATTTCTTTCTTTCCATTTTTAGTAGAGACGGGGTCTCGCCCTTGGTCAGACTGGTTTCAAACTCCTGACCTTAAACGATCCTCCCACCTCGGCCTCCCAGAGTGCTAGGATTACAGGTATGACCTACTGTGTCCAGCCTGGGCCTAATGGTTTAAAGGGGCTCATATTCCTCAAATAAAAAGTTTCATTTCTTTCTCATTTATAAATTTTATTTTGTTTGTTAATAGCCTGTTTGTTCTGTCAGTTACTGGAAGTGGTGTATTAAAGTCACCTTTTAGTCTGACTCTTTTTTTTTTTTTTTGAGACAGAGTCTCAATTTTTTGCCCAGGCTAGAGTGAGTGCCATGGCATCAGCCTAGCTCACAGCAACTTCAAACTCCTGGGCTCAAGCGATCCTCCTGCCTCAGCCTCCCGAGTAGCTGGGACTACAGGCATGCGCCATTATGCCCAACTAATTTTTTCTATATATATATTAGTTGGCCAATTAATTTATTGCTATTTTATAGTAGAGATGGGGTCTCGCTCTTGCTCAGGCTGGTTTCGAACTCCTGACCTCGAGCAATCTGCCCGCCTCGGCCTCCCAGAGTGTGACTTTTTTGTTTCTGGTTTTTTGGTCCTTTTTTTTGCTGTGTATGTTGTAAGGCTGTTATTAGGTGCATAAAAATTGAAAATTCTGTGAATGAAGAGGTAAATCAAACCTCTTATCAGTGAGCATTATTTCTCTTTTTCTCTAGTAATTCTTTGGGCTTGCTGGCCAATATGTGAGAATATAGTTACAGCACATTACCTTTTGTTACTCTTTTTTTTTATGGCGTATTTTTTCCAACCGTTCCATATCATTATGTTTCAGACATGTCACCTCTAACTGCATGTTATTAGGTTTTAATTTTTAATCCAGTCTGACAGTTTTGAGGCATTTATAGTTCATGTGATTGGCATTCATGTTTTGTTTATACTTAATGTATAATGTAATTCTTAGTATGTTTTGTTTTAAAAGAGTTCTCTAAATCCATTTTTTTTGCCCCACTTGTTCTTTGTTCCTTATCCTCTTCTTTTGCCTTCTTTTGGATGAGTTTCTTATTACACATTTATAACACATTACACATCTTATTACACATCTTATAACACATTTCCCTCTTGTGTTAGCATGGAAATTATGTCTGTTAAAATAATTACTAGTTTTAATCATGACACTAGAGATTACATGTAGCGTGCAACCTTTGTCATATTCTTGTGTTAATTAGTGCTTTTCTATTCTTTTCCTCCAGGACCTTGTATTTAAAACATCCTAACATATTATCACTATTCTTTATAAGACAATGCTTCTGATTTGTCCAGTACATTGTTTTCAAATTGAAGTACATATACTCACAGGTGTAGAAAGACTTTTGAAGGGGTATGTGAGCACAGATGATTTAAAAGAAAACAAAGTCTAGAACCTCTCTTTGCATATGGTCTCTTTTGTAAAACTGATCTGCCTGAGAATTTACCTGTTTCTGAGGCATGGAGCTTTGGTGGAGCTCATTTCCCACATTGCTTCACAGTCATTCCACTTGAGCTTCAAAGAATAAGGGCATGCCTCTGCCACATTTAGAATCACAGGCTATATTGGCCAGAGGCATAAAATCTTTTGGGGCACCAAATAAAGGGATAGTTAACTATATTGGGGGCATTGTGTTAATATGAGTGCCTAGGAGCAGTGATAGTATCTGGGCTCAGAGGCACTTTACCACTCAAATTAAATTTTCTCTTCAACCCACAGGTCCTGCCTCCTTAGGAGCAAAAAAATCACCAGAAAGAGGAGGACATTACAGGATTTGGGTATCGGCATTTCTGGGGACATACTGGATTGAAGACTGAGATTTCTGAACAGAAATGTAGAGCAGATCTAGAAGACACAAAGAGCATTCCAGTTGCCAGCCATTTTCCAGGAACAGAAGAAAATGATCCAGGCCCAGGTAGCTTACTTTTCGGTTGTTTTATTCTTTCCTTTGTTCCCTCATGGATTTATAGAGGCCTATGAAAATATCAGTTCCATTAATATGAGAAATTTGAATTTCAAAAACAAGCTCTGGAGAGAAATAAACTTAGTCTTTAAACTTAACATCAGGCAAAGTTGGATAAGGTATATATTGTTCATAGGATTAACACTAAATTACTAACTGGGGGACATCATGAGTGACTGGAGAGGATCCTGTGGGTTAACCTTAGCTGTCAGCTCGCATCTGTTATCTCTGACAGCCAACACCACAGGAGAATCATGATTTACATGGTATGCACTGGTTTGGAAGAGAAAACAGATTACTTCCTGGGGGATGCCAATTATTTCATGGCACTTCGATCTCAGGAAATTTCTTTCATAGTTTCTCCTGGAGGTGATGTGGTGGATTGTGTCCCGAACAGCAGCCTTCACAGAAATGCTGAAGCGGGCTTCCTATGGCTCTTTTCTGGAAGGATTCCTATGGACCTCTGTGGAATAGACTAAGTGAATTCAGTAAACTCAGGGGACCATTGTGAGTTGATTTCAGCCTTGTGGCAGTCTGGATTTATCCAGGAATGAAACCTAAACATCCTGGGAAAATGGAAGGATCCCAGAACTTTCAAATGCCTCTCAGTGAACAGAAAGTGGAACTGGTGTCTGAATACAGACTGGATGTAGAGAATTGAAAGTGCTGTTGACATAGAGCATGGCTTGGATTGTTGGAATTGTACAGGTTGCCTTTAGACTTTGACTTCACAGAAAATGCAGAGTCCATCCCTATTTTGTAGTATAAAGACTTGATGCAAAGAGAGGTTTGGCCTTTGTCCTCAAAGGACAGGTGAGCTCTATGTCCCTGGAATGTTCTGCCTGATAGTTGTGTCTTTTGTTTGTTTGGGTGCTTCGCTACTGGACAGTCTAAAAATGTGATCTGTGATGGGGATTTTGTGCTGTTTTATCATTTCCCACCTCCAAAAGATCTGGAGGCTGAAGTTATTAACCCGATTTCCAGGAGAGGCTGGACCTGAGGTCAGTCACATTTGTGTGATCGAGTCCCAATAAAATAACAACATACATATATCAAAAAGAAAATTCCCTCTTCCCACATTTCCTTCCTAATCCCTTTTACAAATGATCGGTAATATTTACTTCTTGTCACTGTAGTTGTGAGGATCTATGTCAATAAACGTATTAACAACAGCATATTTGTATCTATCTGTAGATATCAACACATATATCTATTATGATTTTTTTCAAATGAATGGAGTCATATTCCAAAGAACATAGCAGCTAAGTTGAAGAAACTCTCCAAAAACTAATGACTGCAATTGACTAAAGAACATTAGCTGTATAAAATTCCATCATTTCATAGTGATACTTAAAAAAAATGCATTTGTCACCATTGGAGGTTGGGAGAGAACCAAGTATTTATTTATTTTTCTGCTCTGTGGAAATAATATGAAACATTTATTTGATATATTGGACAAGAACAGAGCTAAGTAATCCAACTCTACTGCAGCATTACAAAAAAAAAAAAAAAATCCCTTCACCACAGTGTAAGATTCAACCTGCACAAGGGTGCATGTTATATAAAACACAACAAGACTGCTGCTGCCCTGCCGAGTACTTCCAGTCCCTACCCAGGTCCTACTGAAATACTGGTGGCCCCAATAGTTTTATCGAAATAAATCATTTTTTTTAAAATAAAGCATTTAAAAAGACAAATTAAAATGCCTCAGTAACCATATATCCAACTCAAACTTTATCTATTTAAATGAATTATATTTGCCCCCACCAATAAACTTTTATTTTACTCAAACTAGAGCAATAACCTCCCATATAAGTATCTTCCTTGCCCAATAATTCAAAGGAAAAAAATCCAAAATGATTAGTAAGAAAAATGTAGAAATTAACATACCCTTTTAATTAGTTTTAAATATTTTTAAGGTTTAAAAAGTGTCTAAAGATTGTAATTTCTAGTTGGAAAACATTATCTGAATGAATACCCTAATGGCAAACCACTGCAAAATGCTTCAGCTGCATCTGGGGCAGAGGGGTAGGGATTATCTTCAAAGCACCCAGCTCTCTTGCTGAGAAGGTCAGAGGTACACTGGTTTGTGTTATTGCGACATCCATTAGGTGATATAGGAGAACCAAGTATTTAATCTGAAAAATGAACATAAAGATAGGGTTTTTCTGTAGGGGAGGGTTGACTGTGACTTTTAAAAATATATTCTCTATCTCTGTAATTTTGTTATTTCAAGAATATTATATAAATGAAATAATGTGTTGGGTAACTTTTTGAAGTTTAAGTGGATTAGTGGTTGCCAGGGGTTTGAGGTGGTGGAGGTAGGAAGAATATGGCTGTGACTATAAAAGGTTACCACAAAGGATCCTTGCGATAGAACTGTTCTATATCCTAATTATGGTGATGCTCACATGAATCCACACGTGATAAAATTGCATGGAGTTAAGTAAGCACACACTTATACAAATGTATAATCTAGTAAATCTGAATAAGGATTGCATCAATGTCAGTTTCCAGGTGGTGCTATTGTCCTGTGGTTATGCAAGATGTTACTGTTGGAGAAACTGGGTAAAGGGTATATGTGTTCTCTGTATTATTTCTTACAATTGTGTATGTTTTCAAAACTGCAAGGGGGTTTTGGCCTAGGCCCAGCTACTTGCCACACAAAGTGCCAATTATTGAGACAATGAGGATTGCCAAGGAGGAAAGGAATTTTTTAATTTGAAAGATATCTGTCAGGAGAGTGGGAAATCAGCCTCAAATCCTCAAATGACTAAGGGAGAGTATGGGCTTTAAGGACAGACTGCGTGCATTGGGGCTGGTAGGGATGTAATTAACAAGGGGGCTGCGTGCTTTGGGGCAGGTTGTGGTGGAGGACAAATCTTGGCTTCATGAAGTCTGCCTAGGGGCCTTCAGAATTTCAGCTCCTCGTCTGGCAGAAATTCTGCCCTTTCTGGGAAACAACTCAGAAAGGTCAAGTGGTCAATTAAAAGTTTCAAGATTCTAGTCATCATGCCATTCTGGCCTGAGAATTTAAAATATGAGAGGGGGAGAATTATAAAAAAATATATAGAGATCACTGAAATTTGTTCATAGAGGTGGTTACATATATGATAATCTATAATTATCTTAGAACATAAATATATTATATATATAAAATACATATAGGCAATGTAAAAAAAAATCTAAGCATCATTGATAAAGTCTAAGACTACTTGACCAATACACTCATATATGATACTTCCTCTAGAAGGAACCAGGATTATCAATATAATCTACATCCTCTGGACTAATTTCAGTGTAAACATAGTTTTTTTGTTGTTTGGTTTTGTTATTTTAAAAGGAATCATACTACTAATATTTATTGTTTTTTCCTTTAAAGTGTCTTTGCATTTATTATGTGTTTGGACATGCTGACCTATCTTCTTTTTGACCTGCTATACTGTAATCAAGAGCACTTGGTCTATAATATGTAAAAACATTAAGTGTCCCTAATCTTTCTAATAATTATTATTTTAGCATCAAATTTTGTAACTTGCAGCAATGTAAAGGGTCAACTATTCTTTGTCCTATTTCCCTTTGCATTTTCTAATTACTGGTGGGATTGAAATTTTTCTTGTGTCTTTCTTGGTCAGTTAAATCGTTCTCTGAAATACTGGTCCTTATACTTGGCTTATTTAAAAAATCTGGTTTGTTTTATTAATTTTTCTTTTCTTTTTGGTTTTTTTTTTTTTTTTGAGACAGAATCTTACTTTGTTGCCCGGGCTAGAATGCCGTGGCGTCAGCCTAGCTCACAGCAACCTCAAACTCCTGGGCTCAGGCGATCCTACTGCCTCAGCCTCCTGGTAGCTGGGACTACAGGCATGCGCCACCATGCTTGGCTAATTTTTTCTATATATATTAGTTGGCCAATTAATTTCTTTCTATTTATAGTAGAGACGGGGTCTCGCTCTTGCTCAGGCTGGTTTTGAACTCCTGACCTTGAGCGATCCTCCTGCCTCTGCTTCCCAGAGTGCTAGGATTACAGGCGTGAGCCACTGTGCCTGGCCTGTTTTATTAATTTGTAGGAGTCGTTTATATCTACTGTATACCAGTTCTTTCTTTTACATACTGAAAGGGTGAATGAATGACCCAAAGGGCACATTTCACACACAGGCCATGTGGGAGCAACACAGCTGGTTTATTCACCCGAGTGTGGGTGGGCTAGGCCCAAAAAGAGAGTCAGCACAGAAGGGGGTTTAGTAAGGGTTTTTATAAATGGGGCAGCCGACCCCCTCCCACCTGCCCTGTTCAGTTCTTTGTTTCTGGGCCACACTGGCAGGTGAAGATTTGCTTTCTGCTAGGAGCAGCAGAGGATGGTGGGCAGAACAGCTGTTTGTAGTAAATTCTTCAAATGACCAACTCCTATGATCCAGACCCCTTTGCTCATGTCACATTCATTCTTCTGTTCTGGCGTCATCCTTATCAGGAGAGCTAGGGAGGGATAGCCTCGGTGTCCATCAGGGAGGGAGGGGGAAGCAATGCTGGCTGCAGCTCTCAGATCTACGTAGTTCTGGAACTCCCCAGACTCCTGCGGCTATTGTTTTACAAGCCTAAGTTTTGCATTAACCACATTCTATATCCTATACATACTTTTTGGGTTCCCACCCAGAATAAACCTAACACATACTACAGTTTTTTATTTGTTTTTTTTTTCAGACTGTCATTTGTTTCTTTCCATGTAGAAGTTTTAATTTTTCATTAAAACTTTGTCACAGAATTATCAGTGCTTTCAGTTCTGGCTTTGGATTTGTGTTATAAATATATTCTATAATTTTGTTTTCATTGTTTAATATTTGGGTCTTATGTTAGTTATCTGTTGCTGCCTTACAAATAATCCCTAAATTTTAGCAGCCTGAAACAATACACACCATGTCCCAGTGCCTGTGGTTGGGAGTCTGGGCAAAGCACAGCTCAGTGCTGTGCTTCCTGATCTCTCACAAGGCTGCAGTCAAGGTCTTGGCCAGAGCTAGAGTCTGATCTCAGGTTCAGATGGGAAGGTTCTGCTTCCAAGCTTACTTATTGGTTATGGGCAGGATTTAGTTCTATGAGGGGCCTAAGGGGCTTAAGGATTTAGTTCTATGAGGCACCATGTGGGCTTCCCCTAACTTGGCAACTTGTCTGTCAAAGCCACATGGGACAAAGACTCTTTGCTTGACACTTTAATCAGGCTCCTCAGTACATATATATTCCTTCTCCTAGGTTCATCTGTGTACTTCCTTATAAACTCCAATTTTAGCAAAGAACTCTGCTGCTTTGGGAAAATACTCCTCAAATTGTGCTTTCCTCTAAACTCTACAACAACCAACACAGAAGAGGACTTCAGTGACAATTGTGGGTTTTTTCCCCACACACCAAGCACTGAACAGTAGCTGGGTGTCCTCTAATTCAATTCCAACACTGTCTACCCAAAGATAGTGTCATGTCACATAGGATGAGAGCTCGGTCCCCAAGACTGCCTCCTCTCCCCCAGACACCAGTTGCAAGTGTGGGCCTTCAGCACTTCTGACCTACTGGCTTCAAGTTGGGGTTCCCATGACCTCCTCCCTCTTTGAGTTCAATTAATTTGCTGGAGCGGCTCACAGAACTCAGGGAAACGAATTACTGATGTATTATAAAGGGTAACACAAAGGATGCAGATGAAGAGATGTGTAGGGTAAGGCATGGGGGAAGGGGCGTGGAGCTTGCTTGCCCTTCTTGGGCGCCACACTCCAGGATCCTCCTTGTGTCCAGCTATCTGGAAGTTCTCCGAACCCAGTCCTCTTGGGTTTTTATGGAGGCTTCATTACATAGATGTGATTGACAACCATGTAGAAATGCAATGGGACAAAAAGCACATGATCTAAACCCAGCAAGGCCTGTCTGTTCAGATTCTTTCTGGCCTCTCTGTGGATATTCCTTCCTCCAGTAAGGGACAGGACCCTTTCTAGAATGAGGGTCTTTTGACCCACAGTCAGATTATCTGAGTTCTGCCATGGGCAGGTGAAAGGAGGATAGGGGAAGGTCACAGAGAGAGCTCTATCTCCTGAGGTGTAGAGCACGCGGACATTTTAAAAAGGACTGTGGGGGTTATGAGCCAGGAACTGTGGATGAAAACCAATATATACATTATAATACCACACCTGCTAAGTCAGTTCAGCAAGAACCCTCCTCCCTGAATGTCTGATTGGGTTCCACATCCTCCATCACCTCCCAGGTGATGTCTGATCACCCTGACCTGTTTTTTTTTTTTTGTTTTTTTTTTTTTTAGTTTCAATGTGATATGTCTAAGTGTAGACTTCCTGCTTGAAATTTGTTGGGTTTCTTAAGGTCTCAAGTTTGGGCTCTTTAATCAGTTCTGAAAAATTCTCAGTTTTTAGATCTTTGAATAATGCTTCTCCATTACTCTATTTTCTTTTTCAAAAATTATCAATAGGCATATGTTAGGCCCTCTTTCTCTGTTATTACCTCTTCTTTATATTTTCTCCATCTCTCTGCTACATTTTGGATAATTTTTTCAATTATACATTACAGTTCCCTATTTGTTTAGCATATTGTGATACAAGGAATATATACTTTGGTCTTTGTCTCTGACTTCTGGCCAGAGCTCCTGAACCCTTTGTAATTTCTTAACGAATACAAACAATAGGAATATCTTTTGTTATACAGGTTAAGTATCCCTTATCCAAAATGCTTGGGAGCAGAAGTGCTTCAGATTTTGATTTTTTTTAGATTTTGGAATGTTCATTTATACATAACAAGATATCTTAGGGATAAGACCCAAGTTGTAAACATGACACTTAGGCTGAAAGTAATTTTATACGATATATTTTTTCTTTTCCACAGACACCATTTTGACTTAATTTCATACAATATTTTAAATAATTTTGTGCATGAAACAAAGTTTGTGTGAAGTACTTATGCGTGCAATTTTCCACTTGTAACCTAATGTTGGTGCTCAAAAAGTTTCAGGTTGGAGCATTTCAGATTTTTAAATTAGGAATGCTCAACTGGTAGTAATTGTTTTTTTGTCTTGGCTCCTGAAACAGCTCTGGAGAATACAGGTGAAAGGGGCATATTTTGTTATTTATGACCTGAGGTGACTTTATTTATGTTCATGAGGTGACTTTGGAAAGCTCCTGAGGAGGAAAGGCTTGTTGCAAGGGAGCCTCCAAGGAGGGGAGAGGGGATGGAGACTGACTTAATCACCACTGGCCAACAATTTAATCAATCATGCCTATGTAATGAGGCTTCCATAAAACAATAAACACAGAGTTTGGAGAATTTCTGGGTTGGTGAACAGATGGGGGTGCTGGGAATGTGGTGAAGCTCCAACCCCTTCCCCCTACCTTGCCCTATACATCTCCTCCATTAGGTAGGCTGTTCCTAACAAAAGAGTTGTGTCCTTTATAATCAACTGGTAATAGTAAGGAAAGCACTTTCCTGAGTTCTTTGAGCTACTGCAGTAAATTATCAAACTCAAGGAGGGGTCATGGGAACCCTCGATTTATAGTTGGTCAGTCAGAAGTGTGGGAGGCCTGGATTTGTGATAAGTGCAGTTGGCCCTCCCCGTATCTGCGGGTTCTGCATCCATACATTCAACCAACTGTGGAGCGAAAATATTTGGTAAAAAAATTGCATCTGCATTGAACGTGTACAGACTTTTTTCTTGTCATTATTTCCTAAATAATACAACTATTTACATAGCATTTATAGTATATTAGATATTATAGATAATCTAGAGATGATTTAAAGTATATGAGATATATAGGTTGTAGGTTATATGCAAATACCACTACACCATTTTTTTTTTTTTTTTTTGAGACAGAGTCTCGCTTTGTTGCCCAGGCTAGAGTGAATGCCATGGCGTCAGCCTAGCTCACAGCAACCTCAAACTCCTGGGCTCAAGCAATCCTCCTGCCTCAGCCTCCCGAGTAGCTGGGACTACAGGCATGCGCCACCATGCCTGGCTAATTTTTTCTATATATATTAGTTGGCCAATTAATTTGTTTCTATTTATAGTAGAGACGGGGTCTCGCTCTTGCTCAGGGTGGTTTCGAACTCCTGACCTTGAGCAATCCTCCCGCCTCGGCCTCCCAGAGTGCTAGGATTACAGGCGTGAGCCACCGCGCCTGGCCACTACACCATTTTATATGAGAGACTTGAGCATCTGTGGATTTGGGTATCTGCAGGAGATCCTGGAACCAATCCTCAGTGGGTATCAAGGGACTGTATATATGTCTTTGTGTGTGTATATACATATATAGATATATATATATACACATACACACCACACATATGTATACATACCACATTCATATATATATGAATGTGATGATTCTAGGTTACAAGATTTAACTTGTATATATTATAGAAATTTTTAATTGAATGAATGGATGGATATCTGAATATACAATTACAGAATATTTTATTAGGATATTACTTCTTCCACAGTGTATTTAAAGAAAAAACACTAAGTACATAGATGCAACCAATAGAGTAGAAATAAGCACAAAAACTTTAACATTTCTTCCATATTATGAAGAGGACACTTCATTAAACAGGACTGTGTTTTTCAGGAATCACTGACCCTGGAGGATGTGGCTGTGGAGTTCACGTGGGAGGAGTGGCAGCTCCTGGGCCCTGCTCAGAAGGACCTGTACCGGGACGTGATGTTGGAGAACTACAGCAACCTGGTGTCAGTGGGTGAGGACAGCTGCCCTGTGTCACTCAGAGGATACCTGTCAGTGGCCTTTCCTTTCTCAGCTTCTCAAAGCCTTGTTGGGTCTGTGTGGCTCTGAAGTGATGGCAGACTCTCAGTCACCTCTGGTTTCAGATAAGAGAGCATATTTTTCTTTCTCCTAAGAGACAAACCTTTACTTTGTAGGTGTGAAAATTATTTTGTCCTCAAATATAACATTCTGTGGTTTTTACAGATTCCCCCCCAAGCCCAATTCATTGTGTCTGAGTCATTTATCATTCCCCATAAACAGGGTATCAAGCCAGCAAACCAGATGCACTCTCCAAGTTGGAATACGGAGAACCACCATGGAGAAGAGAAGATGAAATCCACCGTGGAGCCCGTTCAGGTGAGAAGACCAGCAAGGGGCAAGGCCATGTAGGTCACATTCTTATCGGTCAGAGAAGGCATCACAGCTGTGATGTGAGAGGGACTGTCAGTTCCTCCATACATCTGTCTTGAAATGTGAGACCCAAAAATATATCCTCTTGTTTCTTCTGAGATCTGATCCCTCTTTATTTTATTTACAACTTTTTTGTTTGCTTGCATGCTTTTCTTCTTCTTAGGATTTCCAAATATTTCCCTTCTTCATACCCTTTCACCTCCCTTGATATGAAATTCCACCTTCCAGGCCTCTCCTCAAAGAGAAAACTTTGAGTGCCTCACAGTTTTTTGACTACTGTACCTTCTGCCCAATTGGGAAATGCTGATTTCCCTTCCTAACCACCTACTCCTGTCTTGGATGCTGCATCCCCAAAGTAAGCTGGTCATTCACTGGGCCTTGGCTTCCTTAGCTTCTCTTTTTCCTCACTCTGAGGTTCACCAAAGTTTCTGTTTTCAATTTCCTCATCTGTTCTCCTCACTCTTCAGAGTTTCCTTCATTCTAATAAATTAAGCTCCTTCTGTTCCCAAACTGACATCTCCTTACTGTTATCTGATACCAATTTTAGTTTTATGTTGTGTCCTGATCTTGATGGTGACTCTCATACTTTCCTAGTAACTGCAAGGAGCTGGAATCACCTTCCTTTCAAGAAAACCCCTGTAAGTTTAGGTTCTCCTTTACTCCTGTACACTCTAAATCCTGGACATCCTGGCATTACCTACCTAAAAGCTTTCTTCTTTAAAGGTTTTTGCTGTTCATGATGAATTTTTAACTAAAAAAGATATCTTTAACATCCTGTATTCTCAGAGCCAGCCTAAACCAGTTCATAACTCTTGCCTACTTCCATTTGATTCCTTTCTGTTTTTACTGATTCTGAACTTTCTTCTAGTTCCTTTTAGATATTACCATTGTACTGGCTTTTGTTTTTTTTCTCCCATCATATTCTGATGATACTAAGTCCAAGTTCACCATGTTACCTGTCAAATGAAATTGAAATTCTTGTTTCAGTGATCTCTGTGATACAGCATCATCTTGCTCATGCAGAGATTCCCATCTTCTTTCTAAAACTCCCCCCAGTGTGTTCCACACATGATTACTTCCTTGACTCATTCCTTTAAAATTTATTATTATTTTTTGCTAGTATAGTGTATGCTGGAGGATAGGAGCAATGAGCAAAAACATGTACACAATAGAACAAGAGCTTTCATTTCTAGAGGAGGAGACATAAACTTAGGCAACAACATGGAGGAGTACATGCCATGGAAGGGACTACTCTTTTAAGAAAGGGAACAATTCTCTGAGCAGGTGCCTTTGAGCCAAAAGATGAAGTTAGTAGGTTGCTGGGTTAGGAGTGTTCCAAGTAGAGATGATAGCAAGTTTAAAAGCTCAAGGGTGACTGTGTTTGAGAAACAAAGCCTGTGTGGATAGAACAGAGCGTACCATTGGGAACATGGTCGGAAATAAGGCTAAAGAGGCAGCAGCAGCAGCCAGGGAAGAGGAAAGTCAGTCATGTGGTCCATTTCAAGGAATTGTGATTTTATTCCTAACAAGATGAGTAAACATGATGACATCCTGAGTCTGGAATGACATGAAATAACTTAGGTTTTTGGCTTTTTTTTTTTTTTTTTTTTTTTTTTTACAATTTCTGAGCTGCACTGTTTATTTTGCTGCTTAAAACCTAAGTGACAGTATGCCATTATAATTATGGGGTTTCATCTAAACCTTTACTACACTGCAGGTACAGGAATATATGGACACATTTCTGGAAAACTGACATTTTGCAAAATGCAGCAAACATTTTAATTTATACACGACAAAAGGAAGTATTCAAAAGGGTATGCATTTCAAGTTATTGCAGGTTATTTGTGAGATAATTTCTGCAGGTAAAACATGTTTAAATTTAACCAACAGCAGCGTGTCAATGTATTTAAAATCATGACAAAAATCTCTCTGGTCATGTTGCCCATAACAAATTACTATGATGTTGTATGTTTAGGGCAAGATGTTAATACACCATAAATCCCGTGGTATTCTGGTTTTCTTCTGGAGATTAAAGCTGTTTTCCTTGGGATAAATGCAGCAGCAAAACACAAACCAGTTGATCAAAAAAGCACTTCTGCCATAACTCCAATAATTTTCAGGACACATCAACCGACAGTAGTTTTGCCATTCCCAGTTCTTTTAAGGATTACATTTCTGCACTGTTCCCTTAAGGATGTCTGAAAAAACTTGTTCTTTGTTAAACCAGTTAACTGACTACAGCCTGGTTGAGAGAATTTAGTTGGTTGGTCCATTTATCCAGTGCAGTATATTGTGTACCGCCCCTCTTCTGATGATCCAGTTCAAGGAGCTGGTTGACTTGATCTATTCGGCCATGAGTAGTGTTATCCAATATGCACTGTACCAGCGAGCTCTCCAAATCAGCTACGTCGATGTTTAATTCCTTAGAAAATAAAAGGAATATGTATTCTTGTGTAAGGCTTAATTTTATTAGCACGTGTGTTCTGATGTTTTGCAAAAGCTCTTCAATGTGTTCTCTTATGAAAGGATCATCCATGATATTCCTGTGATTTGTTTTCAGACTTTTTTCGAATTCAGTGATGTCATTATTCTGATAGGCACTTATTAAATTCATCATTGCTAAAATTTCTGGATTATTTTTGGATGGCTTGGCCTCTTGTGAGTCAAATGGATTTATTTCCAATTTCATTAGCATATTTGCTAATACCAAATATTTTAAGCAAGTGGTTCATCTTGGACTTCCTGATTCATCATAATTCTTAAAAGGCTTCAAAAAAATCAGTGTGTGCCTTTTCAAATTCACCTTCTCTCAAGTGCATTTTACCACCACATTCTCTGATAACTCCCATGATCAGTGGATGAGGGATGGCAGACTTTATGTGAAGTGACTGTTCATAGAGCGCTTTAAGTTTTTTATTATTTTTCTGTGCCGTGTACATTTGAATTTCCAAAGCATATATTTCTAATAACTGGGTACCTTTTTTCAGGTAGTGTTCTCCATCATCAGTATTTTTATCTAGGAGATTTATTTTGGTCTTTCCCAAATCTTCACTACTGCTTTCGATCCACTTAATCAAAAAGTACTTGCAGGCACTGGGTCTACCTGGCAGTCACTGGGTCTACCTGGCAGGACTGATGTAACTGGCATATAATTTTTTGAAGCTTTCTACATTCCTCTCATTCTAAATACAATTTTCCAAGCTTTGTGTTTGTCTTAAATCAGTCTATCATTCTTAGCATCTTTCAAAGCTTCCAATGTTGTTTCATAGAATTCCTGCAGTAAATCCATCTGACATAAAAAATCAGAATTCTATTTAGAAATGGAGATATAATCAAGAATAGAATTAATGGATTTTTCAAAATAATTTCATGTGACTGCACTCTGAATATTGGTCAATAGTTGTTTATATCTATTCATCATTTCTGGAAAGTTTGTCAACTTGAAGTTAATCCTCATCATTTGTTTCAGTGCTTTACATCCCCATTCTCCTTTTTCACCTTCAAGTTCTAAAACGTTTTGGAAACTGCTTAATGCTGCTTTTGGGTCTTCTTCTTTTAATGCTTTGGAATTATAGTACTGATTTTCCAAATCCACATACTATCTTCAGAGTATTCCAGGTCGTAGTCTTCCTCATCATTGCACATGAAATCATCCTCCATATCCTAACTTAGGTTTTAAGAGGATCACTGGCTACCGCATTGGAAGTAGGCAGTAGCAGGCAGGGGTGTGAGCAGGAAAGCCAGTGAGGAGGCTGCTAAGTCCTAGGTGGCAGAGAAAATGGCTGGCTTCTGTGTGGGTGGAGGGGTTAGTGTTGGTTAGATTCTGAATAAGCTTATAAAGGAGGGAAGATGGGATTTGCTGTTTAAATGCAGAGTGTGAGAGGAAGAGACGGATGAAGATTTGTAAGAGTTTTCAGGGTTAAAACTGTTGTAAGAAACATTGAAGCAGTGTAACTGAATGATGAGTACTTGGCCTTGGCCCTGCACTTTTAGGAATTGTAATGCTTCTCTGTTCAGGTCCATTTGAGCAGGACATGAGGGATGTAAGTAGGTGCCCTGGGTGAGGAAGTTCTGAAGTGAAACAGTGGGAAGGTCCAGGGCCTGAGGCAGGAGTGTGTCTGAGGGACTTTGGGAAGCCTGTGTGCATAGAGCAGAGGGAGCAAGAGGGGAATGAATGGCAATAAGGTTGATGGTAGCTTGGGGTTGGGGGAGGCAGGTCACACAGGGCTGTTCAAGGACATTTCCAGACCTTGATTAGCAATAGGCTAACAAGATGAGGAACATTAGGGAGTTTTGAATAGAGAATTTATATACATAATGTAATTATTATTATGTTTACTTATGTTTAAAGAATCACTTTGGCTACTGTGTAGAAAATAGACAATAGCTGGTGGGGGAGGAAGAGGAAAGGCAGGTAGGAGGCTGCTGCCATATTGCCAGAGAGTGACTGGCTTTGGCTTGGGTAAAGAGGGTGGTTGTTGGGCAGATTCTGGGTATATTTATAAAGGAGGGCAGGTGGGAGTTACCACTGATAAAGATACAAGGTGTGAGGGAAAGAAACAGATGAAGGGTGATGCTGACCTCTTTTAGCATGTTAACAAAAGTGGAGTTGCCATTTACTGTGATGGAGATGATCTGGGAAAGGGAATTTGGGTTGGGAAATCAGGAGTTTGGTTTTGGAGATCATCCTAAGTTAGACATGCTTGTTAACATCCAAGTGGAGCTCACTGCTGTGTCTGGATGTTTGAGAGGTTATATCTGGAGATAGAAAGTTGGACTGGATAAGGTCTTCTGGGGAGTGAAGGAAAGACAAAGAGCAGTATTGGGCAATTAGATATTAGGTGAGTAGCTGGTAAAATGGGCTGAGAGAGCAAGCAAGAGCTTAGCTCAGAAGTTCCACTGATGTCCTGTTAGTGGAAATTTTGGTAAATTGAGTGATAACGATAATGTAAATTCTGACTATTGTGGACTTCGTGTGTTTCTGAGTGGAATGGTGAAGTTGTAGATACATTTTGTATTTTTCTGGCTTCATTTTTCTGCTAAGGTAAGATCTTTCTAGCTAAGCCCTTGTCTTACCTTTTACCTGGCTGGCAGATGTGCAGCAATTAGGTACATCCAGATGTTCTAAGAAAAGTTGAAGATAAAGCCGCTGTAACTCTTGATTCAGAAGGAGGAAGTGGTCCTTTTGGGCCCCTTAACTGATGCCAACCAAGACATAAGTATAGAATTATGGAGGAATATGACATTAGTGGCAAGATGAGAGATCAGTAGAAGAGAGAAAGTGAAATGGGAACAATCTGGGTCTATCCAGGTAACAACCTGAAGAAAAAGGTGACAGTTCTTACAGCCATTGCAGCTGTTCATCTGCTTATAGACTGCATGCTCCACTGCCCAGTAGTATATTACCTAAGGATCATTGCTTCCCTCTTTCTGTAGGAATAAAGGAGAATGTTACAGTTAGACCAGTGATTGAGTGTTGATGACAGGAGGTTTCTAAGAAATGTGAGATTGGTGCTTTGAGAAAGTTGGCTTGATGGTCTACAGAAAGCGCAAATTACAGGAACAGGATCGTCACCTGAGAGTCTATCATAGTTAACTCAAAATGCTGAGTACTCAACAGTCTGACTTCCCCTGTGGAATAGTTTTTATAATCACCAGTATCTGCTTATCTCCCTGGTCAGGAGGTTAACATTTGGTTTCCCTCAGTAGACTTTTCCCAACTTCCAAACTGTAAATGATAGGATGATGGACACTGGCCCTGTGCCTCCATCTTCTTTTTTTATCCACACATTCTTTGAATGTGATCTTCTCCTCTTCTCTGTCCCTAAATAACATTTATTTACTAAAGTTTTCCAAATTGAAATCTCCAGACAAGGCTTTTCTCAAGATTTATGTATCCTTCAGACTTGGGTATGTAATGACTGATTGCCTTAAAGTTTATATGCTTCCAAAAGTACACTTGATTTCCCCCTTCTGTCCTTCTGTGATTTTCCTTATCTCATTAAAAATCATAACTAGCCCAGTAGCTCAAACCAAATACTTGGCGTATTCTGACTCCTCACTTTCTTTATTTCCCTCATCCCAACTGCAACAGTGAATCTGTCAGTAAGCTTTGTTTTCTAAAAGGTAACCTGATTTCTTCCACTTCTCTCCATCTCCATGGCTCCTTCAGACCACTTTTTATAATTTGCTGCTTTCCTTGTGTCTTTCTTTTTTAAGTGGTTTTATCAAACTACAGTGTAGGCTACATGAACATAAGGAATATATTTGTGTATCCCAACACTAGCACCATGGCAGGTACACAGCAGTCATTTGGTAAGGGTTTGTGGAATGAGTGAATCTGACCTTCCGAATGATGTGACCATCCAGCGTCTGGTCTGTGGCTCACAATGAAGTGTTTGTATTTTACAGTATTTGCATTTTTGCAAGTTCTTATTTTGAAAGCAGTCAAATCTGTATTTATTCAGTATGAATTATCTAACTTTGATTTTACATTAAGTGCTTTTCCCTTCTGAGTTTCTTTATATTATTTTTTTTCCTAACGTGCAGGGAACATTAAACATGGAGTTTTATTTACACTCATGTCATAGGTTTAGCACTAAAGAGATACTTCGCATCATGGTATTTTTTTTTTTTTTTTTTTTGAGACAGAGTCTCACTTTGTTGCCCAGGCTAGAGTGAGTGCCATGGCGTCAGCCTAGCTCAAAGCAACCTCACACTCCTGGGCGTAAGGGATCCTGCTGCCTCAGCCTTCCGAGTAGCTGGGACTACAGGCATGTGCCACCAGGCCTGGCTAATTTTTTCTACATATATTAGTTGGCCAATTAATTTCTTTAGAGACAGGGTCTCGCTCTTGTTTAGGCTGGTTTTGAACTCCTAACCTCGAGCAATCTGCCCGCCTAGGCCTCCCAGAGTGCTAGGATTACAGGCGTGAGCCACCGCGCCTGGCCCACATCATGGTAATTTTTTAAAAAATACCTTTATTACAAATCAAGGTGATAGAAAACTCATTGTTCTTTTCTTTCTAGAAGTTTGGAAAGTCGATGATCATTTGCCAGAGTACTTACAAAATGAAAACATGGTGAGCAGAATGGAACAATGGCATGGACATAATGCGTTTGGAAATATTGTTCACCAGAACAAAACTCAGATTCTTTTAAGGCAAAATCATGATATATTTGATTTAAATGGAAAAAGTATGAAATCAAATTTCACTTTAGTTAAGCAGAGCAGAAGCTATGAAATAAAGAATCCTGCTGAATTTACCAGAAATGGGGAATCCTATCTCCATGCTAACCATGAACAATTTGATACTGAAATTAAATCCCCTGCAAGTCAAAAACTCATCAGCACTAAGTCCCAATTCATCAGTCCCAAGCATCAGAAAACTCGAAAAATAGAGAAGCCTCATGTCTGCAGTGAATGCGGGAAAGCCTTCATTAAAAAGTCTTGGCTCACTGATCACCAGATCATTCATACAGGAGAGAAACCCCATAGATGTAGTCTATGTGGGAAAGCCTTCTCCAGAAAGTTCATGCTCACTGAACATCAGAGAACTCATACAGGAGAAAAACCTTATGAATGCACTGAATGTGGCAAAGCCTTTCTAAAGAAATCACGGCTCAACATACATCAGAAAACACATACAGGAGAAAAACCCTATATATGCAGTGAATGTGGAAAAGGCTTCATCCAAAAAGGAAATCTCATTGTACATCAGCGAATTCATACAGGTGAGAAACCTTATATATGCAATGAATGTGGAAAAGGCTTCATTCAGAAAACATGCCTTATAGCACATCAGAGATTTCACACAGGAAAGACACCCTTTGTGTGCAGTGAATGTGGAAAATCCTGTTCTCAGAAGTCAGGTCTCATTAAACATCAAAGAATTCACACAGGAGAGAAACCCTTTCAATGCAGCGAATGTGGGAAAGCCTTTACGACAAAGCAAAAGCTCATTGTTCATCAAAGAACTCATACAGGAGAGAGACCCTATGGCTGCAATGAGTGTGGGAAAGCTTTTGCATACATGTCTTGCCTTGTTAAGCATAAGAGAATACATACAAGGGAGAAACAAGGAGATTCAGTCAAGGTGGAAAACCCTCCTGCAGAGAGTCACAGCTCATTACATACCAGTGATGTCATGCAGGAGAAAAACCCTGCTAACATGGTGACCACACAAGTGCCTCCTGTGGCTCCTCGGACATCATTAAACATCAGTGGCCTCCTAGCAAATAGGAACGTAGTCATCATGGGACAGCCTGTAGCCAGATGTGCACCCTCGGGAGATAATAGAGGATTTGCACAGGAGAGAAACCTTGTGAATGTGGTTGTGCCTTCAGTGATCAATTACGTCTTATTTTATGTCTCAGAAAACCCATAGGAAAAACACTCAGATGTAATCTATGTGGAAAAGGGTTGACCAAACTTTCTAGTTCATTATATGGCTGAAAAGTATATACTGAGAGAAAATAAATGCAGAGGCTGGGAAAGCCTGATAAACTCATCCTATCTAAATACATGCTTTAACACAGGGGCATAATCTGATGTTAATCCAAACACATAAATAGTAATTGCTCTATTGTGCCAATTAAATGAGTGAAGGAAGCCTGAGTTCATTTTTTTTTTTTAATTTTTTTTTTTTTGAGACAGAGTCTCACTTTGTTGCCCAGGCTAGAGTGAGTGCCGTGGCGTCAGCCTAGCTCACAGCAACCTCAAACTCCTGGACTCAAGTGATCCTACTGCCTCAGCCTCCCAAGTAGCTGGACTACAGGCATGTGCCACCATGCCCGGCAATTTTTGTATATATATTTTTAGTTGGTCAATTAATTTCTTCTTATTTTTGTAAGACGGGTCTCGCTCAGCTGGTTTGAACTCCTGACCTTGAGCAATCCACCGCCTCGGCCTCCCAAAGTGCTAGGATTACAGGCGTGAGCCACCACGCCCGGCCTTTTTTTTTTTTTTTGAGACAGAGTCTCGCTTTGTTGCCTAGGCTAGAGTGAGTGCCATAGCGTCAGCCTAGCTCACAGCAACCTCAAACTCCTGGGCTCAAGCAATCCTGCTGCTCAGCCTCCAAGTAGCTGGGACTACAGCATGTGCCACCATGCCGGCTAATATTTTTCTATATATATTAGTTGGCCAATTAGTTTCTTTCTATTTATAGTAGAGACGGGGTCTCGCTCTTGCTCAGGCTGGTTTCGAACTCCTGACCTCGAGCATTCCCGCCCGGCCTCCCAAGAGCTAGGATGTACGAGGCATGAAGCCAGCCGCGGCCAGCCTGAGTTCATTTAAGTGGAGGAAATAAATACTGTGAATTTTTAAACAGATGAGATACTCAGTATCTGGAATGTTGCTGTGAATGAAAAGTCACAGAAGCAGTGGTTCTTGCGAAAGGGTTAATATTGAATTGGTGGGATATGGGGCACATATGTGTCAATTCTATTTCCCCAGACCAGCATGCAGGATTAATTGAAAACCAGGACTTTTAGAACTTTATATTATGCAGAGGAACCTATGAAACAATAGCCTTACATTGAGTCAATCCGTTCATTTAACAAATAGCTTCCTTTGTACCTGGTCCTGTCCTAGGAGTTGAGGTCACCGTGGTAAACAAAGCAGAAAAAGTTTGGTCTCCTGGAGAGGGCATTGAGCTTGTATCTTTAAGTTGTATCTTTACACCCCAGCTAATCTAGTCAAGGGATATAAATATCTACATTAGGTAAAATAGACATGGAGTAACTGGGTCAAAGGTATATGGTAATTTATTGTTCAAGGAACATACTGTTTTTCAAGGGATGGGGGAAGGACTGCTCTTAATAGTACTTAAGCATCTTAGAAACAAGTTATTTTTTTAAATGTCCACATCTTCTCTCTCCAAGAGATTACAAATTCCTTGATAATTTTTATGGTTACTTAAATTTGAAAATTTGAGAAAAATTGAAAGCAAAATTTTAAAAACCTTTTTTTTTTTTGAGACAGAGTGGGTCTCACTTTTGTTGCCTGGGCTAGAGTGCCATGATGTCAGCTTAGCTCACAGCAACCTCAAACTCCTGGGCCCAAGCAATCCTCCTGCCTCAGCCTCCTGAGTAGCTGGGACTATAGGCATGTACCACCATGCCTGGCTAATTTTATATTATATTTATATATATATATGGCCAATTAATTTCTTTCTATTTATACTAGAGATGGGATCTCGCTCTTGCTCAGGCTGGTTTTGAACTACTGACCTCGGGCAATTCACCCGCCTCGGCCTCCCAGAGTGCTAGGATTACAGGCCTGAGCCACCGCGCCTGGCCAATAGCTGGTATTTCTTAAGTGTGCTGTTTATTTTTTAATTTGGGAACGGTGCCATACAATAACATCTTATTACTTAAATACTCTCAAATACTCTTGTGGTTTTTTTAAAGAAATGCCTGCATATATCTGAAGCCTCACCCCTTTCCCTCCCAGCCAGAGGTAGCTACATTTCCAGGTCCCTGGATTCATTCAGTTTATAGAGCACCATCCCCACCGCTGGCTGTGCCCCTTCAACAGTTCTCTGACCACTGTGATCCAGTCACTCGGCAGTCCTCATCTAGACTGCCCCATTTCCAAACCTCACCAGGACTCGAAGTCGCCAGTGTCTTTGTCCGCATTGTGGCCGCTGCCTCCCTGTAATGTCTGGGCAATCCAGAGTCCGCCCGGGATCTGCGCCGCCCCACGGACACCGGACTTCCTGTAAGATGGCCGCCCCCGTGGCGTTCCTGCCTAACGGCTAGCGGCGGCGCCATCTCCGTTTTGCCTAAAGGGCTGACAAGAAGCCGCTCCTCGTTGGGCTCGTTTAGGTTCTGGCCTCTGAAAATATACTCTGCACAATGCTGCTGACCGACAACGAGGAGGGAAAGGCAATAGGGTGCCCCAAAGTGCTCACAATTTCCTCTCTCAGTGCCGTTACGGCCGCGGCGGTCAGGGACTCCGAGGTGGGCGTGGCCACGTTACCTCACAGAGCCAAGCGGGCGACCGGGACTCGAACTCACGGAAACGCCCGAGGTCGCGGTACTCTCAGTGCGGTACCCTAGCGACGGCGAGGCGGGCCTACGGCGCCAGACACCGGAACCGGAAGTTGTTTGGAGGTGGGTTCAGCCTTTGGTAGCTGCCTGCGGAGTCTTGAGAAGCTCAGGATTGAAGAGCCCGATTCTGGGTGCGGATCCGGACGAGGGGCGTGTGTCAAGGACAGTGTTCTGGGAGTTTCTTTTGATTCAGTCACTCGCAGTCCTGGTGATTTCGTGCTAGATGGACACTTAGGCGGGCAGTGATTACAAGGGTCTGAGGCGATGAAAGGCCAAGGGTCCGACCGTCAGGTTCGGAAATTATCCATGACTCGTGATTTGATCGTAAATAAGGGAATTAATGAATCAGGGTGATTCAGTGACTTCCGCATCACCCCAGCTCTGTGCTTTGTCTCTCCACTTCTTGTGTCTTCCCCTGCTACATCCTTCATTCCTCCACTCCTGTGACTAAACCTCCATCACCCTCACCCCCCCAACCCTTCTAGTCTTCTGTATTGCCCTCTCCACCGTCATCCTGTGACCTTTTTGACTTCCATCCTTCTGTGATTCCTACGCCAGAGACCTCAGTCCAGTCCTCCTTACATTTTGTCACTTCTGCAAACTACATCATATATGCTGTCCTTTCTCTTGTCCTGTGTGTACTCCCAGTTCCAATATCTCAGCCCATTCCCTGTGTCCCCTATGGCCTACACCCTCAAATGCCACAGTCCTTAACTTTCAGGCTTTTCAACTCCCCCATGAATCTAATGCACACCGCTCCTATTACACACAACCGGATAGGCCCTGACCTTTTCTCCAGGGCCCTTTGGCCTGTCCATGCCCAGTATTCTTCCCAGCTCCCTTCATTGTCTTGTGCCCATTTTGTTTTTCTTCCTATATTAGAGTTTTCCGGAGAAACAGAGCCAATAGTATATATGTATTAAACATACATAGATACATAAATATAGATATGTGAGAGGGGATTATAAGAATTGGCTTATGCAATTATGGAGGCTGACAAGTCCTGTGATGTGCTGTCTATAAGCTGGAGAACCAGAGAAGTCCATGGCGTAGCTCAGTCCAATCCAAACCTAGGGCCATTGGTGTAAGTCCCATAGTCTGATGTAGGGGACTGACATATATTTTCCTAGTTTAAGAATTAAATTTAGTGAGTAATGTACATGTTCTGCCCAGAGCGTTTAAAAGCAATGTGCTCTGGACAAGGTCCTTGTGATAAACAAGGCTGTTGCCTAGAGGCATAACAAAGGACCTGAGTAGCAAGTAAGCAAGAGCTGCCCAGCAGCTCTTGGGGGGCCTGGAGGCTACATGATAAACACATTGTTCCTGTGATTGCTGCTTGAGCCCCATAAGATGGCTGGTTAGTCAGTGACGGGTAAGACCCCTCAAGGGAGGGGCGACCTTAGCCATGCACAGCTTCTGGGGATCAGCCTAAGATCTTGGGGATCACCCTAAGAGAAGTTGGGGATGAGAAATGCCCCCGTGGCTACTTTGCCCATCCTTGCTAATCTCAGTCTGTGATCTATGCCTGGTGCCTAGAGCAACCACCTGGAAATTCTGAGCCAGGGGATATCTGCTTCCCTAAGGCTACATATTCCAGAATTTATGGCCATTGCTGAAATGCCTGGGTGGTTACATACAAGAAACTAATTTTAATTTTTTAGAGTATAAAAATAAAACGGACCTGGTGTATTGGTACTCGAATCAACCATCTGTATGTGTCTGCATTTTTCTTTGTGTTCTGTGTTTGTGTTTTGTGTTCTGTGTATTCTGGCCTCCTTTCTGTAAATGGGCCATGACAGTCTGAAGCCTGGAGAACCTGGGTTTCTGATGTCCAAGGGCAGAAGATGGTGTGCCAACTCCAGGAGAGAGAGAGAGAGAAAGAGCGAGAGTGCAAATTCAACTTTGCCCTCTGCCTCAGTCAATTGGATGGTGCCCTCCCAGCTTGGGTGAGGGCAGATCTTCCTTACTTACTCCACTGATTGAAATGCCAGTCTTTTCCAGAAACACCCTAAAAGACACATCCCAAAATGATGCTTTACCAGCCATCTGGGTATGTGTTAACTCAGTCAAGTTGACACCTAAAGTTAACCATCACACTTCCTGTGCCTATTATTGCCCCCAGGCTCCATCTCTTTACCCACACTCCGTCCGCTTTGGTGCATTATCATCCTGTAAGGTCTGCCTCTTTCATCTGTATTCCCTTCCTCCTACACTATATGTTTTCTCCCATCCCTACCACTGACCCTTTACCCACTTTTGCTCTTAGCTGTGTGTTGCCATTATCCCCTTGTTCCCAAGACACCTTGCATTCCTTACCCATCCAGACCCTAATACCCCCATATGCTTGAATTCCTTGCACAATATACCCCCTTGTAATGTTGAACCCAGCATTGTGCTTTAACCCCAAATCAATGTTTAGCACCCTTTTGCCTTTTATCCGTCTGCCTTCTCTCTTCCTTGCACTCTCTCTACCCTACCCTCCCAGCTCTCTGCACTGTCTTCTCATGCCTATGCCCCTTTTTTCTGCGCCCTCCTCTTATTCCCACCTATCACACAGCCATACACTCTCACTCCCCCAAACACTCCATTGTTAAACAATTGCCACCAACTGTTTTTGACAAATGCCCTATGGGTAGGAGGGTTCACACAGATAAAGCTCTGAGTCAGGTCAAATAGAGGAAAACTCAGAACTGTCTTCAGTATGCTACAAGACAGGTTAAATAGTGAGAATTCTTTGGAGATGGGGACTTTTGAGGTGTTCCAGAGCCATTCCTGCACCTCCAGTGGCTGGCGAAGTGCAGGGTTTCACTGTTAGTGTAGTTACAAGGTAGTTGCTTTTCAAGGGTACCTAAGAGCTAAGGAGATGGGGATGGGATTAGGGCAAATTAAAATGCCACAAGTCTCACTTGTGGTTGGGGTGTGGACTTAATAATTGGCTAATATCGAAGGCAAACTGACCAGCCTCTAGCCAGGGCTTTAAAACTGGGTCAAGATAGTAAAAATATATGATACTCCCAGCACCACTGTCTAGTCTAGTAGATTACAACCCTGCAGGGCCAACTTAATGTCTCTGCTCTCCTCTGGACTTCCCTTTATTTCAATTTCTTTTCCTCATCAGAGAAGACATATTCTCTGTGGTAACTATATTCCACATATAACCCAGAAATCAGCTAGATCTAGTGCAGCCTCTTGAAGATCTTAGCTTTTACCACAGCACTTCCATAGCCTTTGCATGCTGAAGTTTTCCCAGGAATTTGTGCTAATTCCTAAGGGTTTACGATCTCAGGATCTCCTATGTTCTCACCTCAGCCTTCCCCATAAAGTTAGACTTTGGCTTCCATAACACAGACATAAAACTCAAGCCCCCTCCAATATTCCCAAAAGAGTCTGTCTTCACAGAAAAATATCAATGATCCATATGACTTTTTTTGAAGATATTGCAATAGTGACAGGAACAGAGATACCAGGGAACTTGAGAGTAAACAATTTAATATCCTTTTATAATAATTTTTTTTCAAAGTCCCTCTAGGATGCTCTACTCATGAGGCCTGTCATATCTTCCTCCTTACCTATGCAATGCCCCACCTACTGGTCCTACTCTGATCTCTTCCATGTCTCTACCTGCTCCAACAACATATACTCTTCTCCATTTTGATAAAGAGAAATTGGTTCTTCCAAGAATATACCCTAAGGCCTGAACACTTAAATTTATTGTGATTTAGAGAATAGTGAATCCACCTTTTTAAGAGAATAGTTAGGGATCTCTGTCTCTCTCTCTCTCTCTCATTTTGAATCATGCCTATAGGTACTTTCAAAAACTATGAAAGTCTGAGATTAGCCTGCAGCTTTGTTATAGATGGTGGCAGAACACACAACTTTCATGGATGTGGATTAAAAACAATGGACTTAATTACTTATGACACAGCAAGAGCATGGATATCCTGATTGTAGCCATTTCCCTTATCAAAAACCACAGTTCCAATCAGAGTGGTGTGAAGAGGCCCAGGCATGCTACACATGCCATGAGTTTGCATCACACCTGAGGAACCCTGAGCATACTTGTAAAAGGAACTGCTAGCAAACCCGCCACGCCCGTTGCCCTGGAGACAGACATCACCTTTATTTCCCTGTACAGGAAGCAAGTCTTTCTACAGTTCCAGAGAGTGACACTGTCCCTATGTTCTGATGTTCTTTTTGCACAGATATACAATAAAATACATTCTAGAACAAAATCTGCCCATGCTGCTTCCCACAAGAACTGTGCAAACTTGTGGAGAATTGTCTTCCAAGAATATCCATCATGCATTTATTCACTGTATATGCTGCTGACAGAATTTCCCATGAGTACACCACTCTGTTGGAACTGCTTTTGAAAAGCTGGAACCTAATCCATTTAATGTGCCTCAAGCAACATTTAAGAGTATTATCAACAGGATTCTATGCATCAGGATGAGGACAACCTGCTTTATTCACCTTTGGTATGCCCATGCAGGTCCCAAAATGAACCAGAAACCTCAATATTCATTATGGTCTATCTTAGAAAGACATGTAGCTCCTCCTTAAGTTTCTGCATTAACATTTCAATGGTGATAAATGACTAAAAAACTGAACATTGTGCAAAAACACACAATTTACATAGTTACGGGGGGTTAGAGATTTTTTTTTAAAGACAAGATAGCACTATGTTGCCCAGGCTGGAGTGCGGTGGCTTTTCACAGGCACGATCATAGTGACCTACAGCCCTGAACTTCTGTGCTCAAGTGAGCTTCCTGCCTTAGCCCCCCAAGTAGCTGGGACTAGAGATTTTGTATTTCTTACCCAGACAAAGCAGTGCCTGGATACAGTGGAGTCACGGCTCATGAGAACAAAGGGGCAGGCAGTTGGAAAACACACCGACATTAAGGCAGATATGTTCCCTAACCACCAACTGGGATTATATAAAAGAACAACATGAAAGATGGAAGAGAGAGTGAAAAATGATATGAAGGTGGTCACGAGGACGAGGGTGCTTTGGGTGGCTCTGGACTCAGGGCAGGATCTAGAGGATGCATTAATCCTGTGAATGTGTTGGACCCGCTGCTTGTGCCTGTACAGAGTGAAAATCATGGAGCCACTGGACAAGATTATGAACATAGAAAATGAAACTTCAGGGACTACAAATAATGCTACATAGAGTGGGTCTAATATTTTGTCAGGACCTACACTAGAACAGTATCCATAATCTCTTTTCTTTGTGATGTTTTTGTTGCCCCCTTTGCCAAATGCATATACAGGAAAAATAAAATTTACCACCATGTACAGGATCCAGCAGAAGAGAATGGAGTAGCTAATGTACCTTGGGGTTTTTATTTTCAGATCCTTCCACCTGGAGTTCCTGGGGCTGATCATGATGGCCTGGAAGACACTCAAGAGGCAGGTGGTGCCAATGGACACTCCCCTGCCCACTCTCTGGACATACAAAAGAAGTTTGCATCCAATATCACTGAAGAAATGTTTCAACCCAAAAACTGCCATTGTCTGGGGAACTTCTTTAGAGAGAATGACCAAGGAGTTGGCTATAGTCAGGTGCTTGAGAATCAAATCTGTAGACTTCAACCTGCATTTGCTGTAGTGAAGGAGGAGATAGTGGTGAAGAAGAGAGAAATTGCCCAGGATTCCAACTGTACTCTGAGTTAAGAAGATTATTCTTATTGCCAAATCCCTGGAGGCCATTCTGTAATTCAGCACATTTTCCTTTAAATTATGGTAACAATCATTGCTCTGAGCAAAAATAGCCTCTTTAAAGATTTTTGACATTAACAGTAACTGTCATTGTGCGCTCCTGTGAGATTGGCAAAAATACCAAGATGCACGTAGAGATTTAGAGCATTGCCAGTATATTTCATGGAAGTCAGCACTAAGGATGAGGTGGTGTTAACCTGGGGGAAGCAATGAAAAGTGAGAGAAAATTTTTAAAAAAGCATAATCCTACATTTTCAAAATAAACTGATATTTTCAGTCATATGGGAATACAAAAACAACCTCAGTCACTATCCACATCATACAATAAATCAATTCTAAATGGATTGCTGATCTAAATTATAAGTATTGTAATTTTTGGAATAATAAAAAGAATGTATCTGTGGCCTTAGAATAAGAAAATGTTTCTCAAACAGCAGAAAATCCATTAACCATAAAGAAAAATACGAACTAACTTAACAGCTGGCTTTCATCAAAAGGCATACGCATGAATAGAGAGAAAGCTGTGTATGTAGTGTAAAGAACACTTACAGATTACACAGTAGAATAAAATATAGGCAAAACATTCTAACAGAAACTTCAAAAAGCAGACATCATTTAATGAATAATAAGTACAGAAAATGTTCAACATCCTTAGTAATCACAAAAATTCAAACAATATCACTGTGGTATTATCATATACCAACCAAGAATCTAAAATAAAAATGTCAGGAAATACGAAGTTTTGGCAAAAATATGGGTAAGCCAGGAATCTCATACACTGCCAATGGGTGTTAAAATTGGTACATTTTGGAAAACTGGTAGTATCTACTTAGGCAAAACAGATATAATCCAATGTCCCTATAATTAAACTCTTATGAATATATTTTAAAGAAGTTTCTATATGTCATCAAAAATAAATCCCAGAACTTATGTACCAGTGCTAGTCCTAATAGCCCCAAACTAAGACCATCCACTTTCCCATTAACAGTAGAATGACTCAATTAATTCACACAATGGAATCCTATGCAGCAATGCTAGTGAATGTCAGTAATACATTCACAAAAAACATATGGAATAAAAGCCAAATATAAAAGAGTTATTGCTGTACGATTTCATTAACCGTTTGCACTCTCATGTCGAGTGTGACTTGACACGGTTAGCAAAAATTATAGAGATTAAAATTACTCTTTGAATGTATCAATAATTTGAAATATAAAAAAATCCAAATAAATAAGATGTATGAAAAGAAACTCCAGTTTTTTATTCTACTGCCACGCTTTGTAAAATCTGGGGTATTTAAAAAGTTAAATCCCAAGTAGAATAGAGGAATCGAGAAAAAAGCAAGCAAGTGCCAAGGGTTAATATACAGTACAAAACAGGTAAAAGTGATCTAACTCTTAAATGTTAGAATAGATGTAAACCTATGTCCCAACACTTCCTCTCCTCAAACATACCCAACAGAATGAAACACTTGAGGGTAGGGACTTAGAAGGGCCACAAGGAGGATATTGGGGGGCTGGCAATGATGTTTCTTGATTGTGTTGCATAAAATGGTGAGTTTTTATGTGTGTGAAATTCCACTGAGCTGTGCACTTGTAACTGGTATACATTTTCTTAATTGAAAAAATATATAGCACCAAAAAAAAAAAAAGTTGGAAGTAGTAGCTGGGGCAAAGATTGTTCTGTGAATATGTTTAATCTACTGCTTGCATCTGTACAGGATAACATTTATGTGGCCACAGGCCCAGATCAGAAGGCCAAACATGAAATAGCAGGGAATAAGAACAACGTTGCATGTTGTGAGTTGTGATTTTTGTCATGAAGTTCAGTAGAATAGTATCCTAAATCTTCATTATTTTTTTTCTGCTCCATTTGAAAACCATACACATAGGCAAAAATGATACTTACCACCATTAGGGTGTATAGCAGAGAAAAATGGAAAACTCAGTATAGGACATATCCTGCCATCTCTGTGAAGATAGAAAACAAATTCATATCCAAAACCTTTAAGGATATGCTACAACCTAAAAGCTGCTGGCTTTACACCTGTAAAATGAATGAACATGAAATGGCTATAATCAGATGCTTAAGATTTATATACATGGACCTCAACCTGCACTCACTGCAATAAAGGAAACAATAATTATAAAGAAGAGAGAAAATGTCCAACTATAGTCTGAGATATGTGGACCATTCCAATTGCCAAACATCTGGAGGTCATTCTGCCAGTAGGAACTGTTATCATCAGAGCCAGAGGACTCTAAGGGGACTCATGGTATGGGTTACATTTATATCAATTAAATCCAGTATTCTCACTAAGAAACACTTACTTAAGGTGTTAACTTAAGGTACTATTTTGTTAAGAGGCTTCCCAGAGCCTCATATATATTTTAAATAGTATTTACTATATATGTACCACTGCTATAATGCTGTACTTATGGTACCTTCTTTGACTTTTAGAACTATATGATGTGGACACTAGCATTGTTTTCATTGTTAAGACATGGGGATCCTAGAGAGCTTAAATGATGTGTCTAAATTCACATACTGGTTAGGAATACAGTGGAGACTGCAAGTTGGCTTGGATGGGTGTAAAGACAATGCCTTAAGCACTGTGATTATCTAACGGATGATATTGGCTATGTGTTCAAATAATCTAGACCTATGTTTTGTTTTTATAACTTGCCATTTTAATTTACATTGATGGTAATTTATAGTATAACTTGGGTATGTATTACACATACATGCATATATTTGGTATGTAAAAATTTTCCATTTTGCTGTAAAATTTTATTCTACAGACCAATATCAAATATGAATAAGGCTTCAAAGATCTTGATAACATGTAGGGTACTAATTACAGTCTAATCCTACAAGAAACCTCCCTGTGTACAAGTTTGATTTAATAAATATAAGACTAACTCAATATTAGTTTTGCAGTAGAAGGATTCATTTGCTGTTATTTCAGAAACAAAAATATACTGGTATCTATTAATGAAATGATTGAGCAATATACCTTTGTCCCTAAATTATGAACATGAAATACTAATATGTGATAAAATATTGTAGGATAGAAGCTAAGTTATTACTTATTTCTGGCTAAATAATTATCTATTGCTAATATCTAGGTTAAATTCAACTATTAGTAATGCAGAGAGATTTGTAAAAAATATTACAAGAGACATATAAGTGGAATTTGGAGAATATGAAATCTTATGCAATGTATACATTCAAACAATAGGAAAAAGTGACTTTGGTAATTATTAATATATTAGAATATTAAGTCAGAGGAAATGACACAAGACATACTGAGTCATGACAACTATTGTCTACTATCCATAAATATAGTGTTAACTATACCTTATATGTATTCCTAACTTTAAGAGGAAATGCAATCTCACCATAATCATTACAGCATAGATATTTCAGTAGACACACAATTACTACCTCCATTAAGTGGCTCTAGATTTACACAGAAATATATTTTATTCCAAAAACAAATTTAGATCATCGTATCTGCACAGGATTAGGTAATTCTTATAGTTCCATCCTAATCTTTATTATAAGCATGAAGGAATTATAAATACATCTATAATAAAAATACTGAAAATTTAGTCTATGATTTATGTAAGGGAATGTGAACAGCAGATTTATTTATTACAAACTTTAATTACCTTCAAAATGCGATATCAGGTTTCATTATCACTTGAATCATTCACTAACAATCATGCTCAGTGAGAGTTTTATTAAATTACACTAGGAGCCATTAAGGAGTGGCACAGGGTCTAGGACCCTTCTCCTTATTCTAACTCAGCTCATAGCTAAGGAATTATTCCTTCTCCATGTCTAGCTTTGCCACTCACTCTATTTCTATCCCAGAAGAATCCCTTTTCCAGGCATGAGCACTTACTCAGACATCCTTTTCTTACAGACTTTGCATCTCAACTGGAAAAGAAGCTGCTGACTGGACTTCTTCCTTCTCCCGAGGTGGGCTCGGCACGAAGGTCATGGCAGCCAGTCCATGAGGGAGGCAGGCAGCGGACCCTGAGGTGAGGTCTGTGTGTGTGGCCTCTCCTCCCCTCGGAAGGGCAATTATTATCTCACCTGTTGCGCCAGTGACATGTGCAGGCTTTGGGAGCTAAAGAACACTTCTGAAAACTATTTTTTTATTTGCTAATTACCAAAAGCAATTTCAAGTTCTTGTAAGTGTCTTCATATGGGACTGTCGAACTGTTTGGGAGAGGCTTGCCTTTTCATGATCCCTGAAGGCAGACAAGGTCTCTTAGGGAGGGAGCAAGAAATATTGAGATCTGATCCCTGAGGGACATGCAGAGAGGTTTGTGTGTCTCCCTGCATTTCCCACTTTCCTGAGTTCTCTCCAAAATTAAGTTAATTATTAATTTTATTTTTTTTTATTTTTTTTTTATTTTTTAAATTTTCTTTTCATAGACAAGTCTGGTGTAATAATTATTAATTTTCAAATCCCTAAGCTGTACCATGTTTAAGTATTCATCAGGTGAACAAAATCAGACAGAGTTCTGAGAAGGATGTCTAAGGCGGTAAAAGGAAAAACATTATATCAATAATTTACATTAGACATCATTGGACTAGTTTGTACAATTAAATGCTATGAATTTGGAAATGATGATATGAAAATAGTCTAAGAAAATGTAGTTTAATATGGACTCCAGCAGTGATAGGAAGTCTAAACAGGTCACTATCCCTAGAAGAAGGAGAGATGTTTAGAACATTCTCTCACAAATAAATGAACCAGCATCAGATGGTTTAACTGGCACATTCTATTACTCTTTTATCTATCATGTAAGCCAGTGCTACCTTCTCAATTCAATAGCATTGAATGCTTACTAGATTTATTTGCACTTATTTTGCTTAGAAAAATAATGAATATTGGTTATCCATTGGTTATATAATTACTGAAGAAATATAAAATTTAATGGTGAAAATCAATCCTTTGGATTTTACAACAGACAAATCCACAATTTTATTGAGGTCCACTAAACCATTCCCCACTGTGAGTGTTTTTAGGGCAACTGAGAAGTTAAGGGGAACATAGTTTAAACAAGACCACCATTATTTCTGACAAATTTGCAAATTTGGTGGTTCCCCAAACCACCCTCAGTTTTGACAACTTTTTTCCTTTCTTTTAAAAAAAATTTTTTTTTGTTTTTATTCTCTCTCTCTCTCTTTTTTTTTTTTTTTCACTTCTAAAGGTGTGATGTAAGTTTTGACAATTTTGTAGAGGGACAAACAGAACTAACTAGGAACTATTGTACTCACTGTTACAGTTTATAATGAAGAAAGGATACAGATTAAAATCAGCCAAAGCAGGAAGCATATAAGGCAGATCCCAGGAAAAGTACCAAAAGCTGAGCTTCCACTTGTCCACACTCCATGCCGTCACAGTGTGTTGCTTTCTTAGCATTGACATGAGACGGTATTCACAGATGCCGTCGGCCAGGGAAGCTCTCCCAAGCTTTGGTGCCCAGAGTTGTTCCTGGAGCTCCATTGCATGCTGCCCGTGTGGAGGCTGTGTAGTCCCCAGCTCCTCCCGGGGCTGGCCCCGTGGCCCACGGCCATCCTCATACCTCACCCTGTTAGATTGTCTGGTGTCCAAGCTCCCAGGAAAACAAAGAGACTGCTTTAAGTTATGACATTTCAAGGGACTAGAGATCCCTTCCCAGTAGCCAAGGGCAAAGGCCAGACCTCACTTTGGAAAGGGCGAATTTTTGCTACACAGCCCACCTCTTGGTCTCTGCCCAAGGCTCGCTTACAGAAAAATGATATTTGTCTGGGCGTCTATATTTAGTATAGCATTTACAGGACAGACACAGCAGTGTCATGTGATTATGCCTAGCACATGGAGAAGCCATAAATGGGATAGTGATTGTTTTAAAGAAAACAGCAAATCAAACCTGTAAAGCCATTTCATACATTTTCATATTTTGTATTAACTTAATTAGTCATTTCCTTCTTTGACCTGCTGACATCACTTTGGGCTTATTCTTCACAGTGCACATATTCTATTTCCAAGTCATAGAATATAGCCATATGATTGACAGTGCATACTCCTGTAAAAATTCATTGTGCAATTTAGGTTATTTTTGTCGTCCCCACCTAAATCAGAGTCTAAAGGCAGTGGGGGGGGGGTCGGGAAGGAATGCCTTTGGGGCACAGAGCACCACCTACTCCAAGAATTATCTCCACATTCAGCTGATGTGGCCAGCTGTAATCCTAAAGCCAGTTTTACCTAGTAGCTGCTGAAACAACCTGCCTACTCTAACGCTGGTTTTACCTACTGCTGTCATTCACCAGTGAGAGTTTTCCAGATCTGGAAACTTTTCCTAGTGATAATGAGTCTTTTTTTTTTTTTTTTTTTTTTGAGACAGAGTCTCACTTTATTGACCAGGCTAGAGTGAGTGCCGTGGCATCAGCCTAGCTCACAGCAACCTCAAACTCCTGGGCTCAAGCGATCCTTCTGCCTCAGCCTCCCCAGTAGCTGGGACTACAGGCATGCGCCACCATGCCCGGCTAATTATATATATATATATATTAGTTGGCCAATTAATTTCTTTCTATTTGTAGTAGAGACGGGGGTCTTGCTCTTGCTCAGGCTGGTTTCGAACTCCTGACCTCGAACAATCCGCCCGCCTCGGCTCCCAGAGTGCTAGGATTACAGGCGTGAGCCACCGTGCCTGACCAATAATGAGTCTTATTTCAAAATAAAACCTAACATTTCTCTGTGTAATAAATCTTCCAAGCTTTTCTGTATTTTTCAGACATACCTGTCATCACCCCATTCTGTGTGTAAGCTCTGATTTGCTGTGCTGTTTTCATAGACATTCCCAAATAAAGCATTTGCATCGAGAATCATCTCTATGTTTTTATTTGATTTTGACACTCCAAACACATACATACAAATACATATATTCACTCACATATATACATAAGCACACAGTATGCACACTCACATACACATATTCACCCAAATATTTAAAGTCATGCACTGCATGATGACATTTTGGTCAAAGATGAACCACATATATGATGGTGGTCCCATAATAAATAACGTAGCTGAAAAATTCCTATTTCCTAGTGATGTCTATCAATTTTAACATTGTAGCATAACCCATTACTCATGTATTTGTGGTGTTGCTGGTGTAAGCAGAACTGCTGTGCTACCTGTGGTACAAAAGTATAGCATATACAATTATGTACAGTACATAATGCCTGATGATAATGAATGGCTATGTTACTGGTTTTTGTATTTACTATATTACACTTTTTATCATTATTTTAGGGGTACTTCTACTTTTATAAAAAAGCTCTAAAACAGTCGCAGGCAAGTCCTTTGGGAGATTTTTTTTAGAAGGCATTGTTACCAGGAGAGATGAAAACTCCACGTGCATTTTTGTTCCAGATGTCTTGTAGTTGGAAAAGATGGGGAGGTGGAAGACAGTGATATTGGTGATCCTGATCCTGTTTAGGTCTAGGTGAATGTGTGTGGTTTCATATTAGTTTTTAACAAAAAGTTTATTCATTTATTGGTAGTTTGCATGTACTTTATTCAAATAAATTCTTGATTTTATTTGCATGAATGAATGGGGTACATGTGAAATTCTGTGTAGTGATCAAGTCAGGGATTTGGGGTGTCCAGCGCCTGAGTGCAATACATTTTTGTTAAGTATACTCATTCTGCTCTGCTAGCAAACACTGAATTTATTCCTTCCCTCTTACTGTATGTTTGTTACCTTTAACCCACTTCCTTCATGCTCCCTCCTCCCCATGACTCTTTGCTGTCTCTGTTATCCATCTTTCCACTCTCTACTTCCATGTGATCAATATTTCTTAGCGGTCACATATAGGTGAGAACATGCAATACTGTCCTTTTGTACCTGGCTTATTACATTTAAGATGATACCCTGCAGTTCCATCCATGTTGCTGCAAATTATATGATTTCATTCTTTTTTTATGACAGGATAGCACTCCATTGTGTACATACACCACATTTTCCTTATTCGTTCATCCATTGTTGAACACTTAGGTTGGTTCCATATCTTTGCTATTGTGATTAGTGCTGCAATAAACATGTCAGTGCAGTTGTCCCTTTGATAAATTGACTTCTTTGCCTTTGGTAGATATCCACTAGTGGGATTGCTGGATCAAATAGTGATTCTATTTTCAGTTTTTTGAGAAATCTCTATACTCTTTTCCATGATGGCTGTCCTAGTTTACATTCCCAAGAACAGTGCATAAGAGTTCCTTTTTCTTTGCATCCTTGCCAACATGTGTTAATCTTTGTCTTTTTAATAATAGCCATTTCACTGAGGTAAGATGATATCTCACTGTGGTTGGATTTGCATTTATTTGATGCTTACTGATATTGAGCTTTGTTCCATATAACTTTTGGGCATTTGCATTTCTTCTTTTGAGAAATGTCTATTCATGTCCTTTGTCCACTTTTAAGTGGAATTTTGTTGTTGTTGTTGAGTTCTTTGAGTACCTGAAGAAAAAACTATTCTTTCTCAGGCAAATCTTGAGTCCCAGGTCAGATGGTATGTCCTCTCCTCCTTGGAAAATGACATCCTTTTGTCACTTGAAAACCCTTATTTCTCCGCCTCTGAAACATTAGCCAAAAAGAGAATGTGGTGTGTGTATATATGTGTGTTAATAGTGCCATTGCCGATACAGTTTTAGATATATTCTCAAACTGCAGAAGAAAGGATACCCCATAATGATGAAAATTATTATACCTAGAGATCAAAATAATATCATGGGAAATTAATGAAGACTGACTTTTCTTTATTGTTTAAATATTTTGCTATTAAATTTGCATCTATATGTATTACTTTTATATTCCTGATAGAACAATTTACCAGCTTAGCATCTTAACAAACTGCCCATTTATTAATATTTTCTTTGATTTATTAGATCTAAAGTGTCTGTGGCTTACCTGGGTACTCTAAGTTTTCACTAGCTAAAATCAACCTGTCAGCAAGTCTGGACTCTATTCTTGACACTCTGGGGAAG